TCTCATTAAGGTTTTTACATCAGTACCTGTATTATTCAACAATCTGAAAATAAACTTCGCACTATAGGCATAATCAACAAATCCCAGAATTTTAAAGCTAAAGAATTTTATAAAGTTTATCTAATTAAATCTTCAATCCATAGATGATAAATGGAAGTCAAAGAATGTCAAGTAACTTGTATAACTTTATAAAAGTAAAAATAAGCAAACCATAATACTTCACTAATATGAGGATAAAATATTTTAAATCCCCAATTAATTTCATGGACTAGCCCATAGAAATAAAACTCTCACTTCTCATGACAAACAATTGCTAAAACAAGGACAGTGAACAGTGTGTCAAAATTAACCTCTTACTAACAACATTTATGTGAACTTTTAACTGCATCCTCTTGATGAACAAAAATGAATTGTAAGACTTAAAGATGGAATATAATACTCTTGCACCACTACAAAAACTTGATGTTTACTACGAAGATCAAACAAATCTCCAGGCTCTGTTGTTATTACATAACCAATTTTTTTTCCTGATAGAACTCGGACATTATATTAACCCTCTCTCATTAGAGATTCATTTCTTTTGGCCACTTTTGGATTCTATGTACCAAAATAAAGTGTTAAAATGAAAAAACTAATGCAAACCATGTAAATTCTGCTAACGTAGAAACATCCACTGTGATATTTAAGAAGAAAATTCACATAAATAGGGTACTTGTCCGATTGACCTATTGAGCCCTAATGGTTATAGAATTTCCTCAGCTAGCATAAATCCACATTCATTATATGTGCAAATGTTGAGAAAGACATTGTAAAATTAACAAAATTCATCAGAAGTACCCAAGTCATCATTCCAAATGCAAAAGGAGTAACAAATACTAGATCCAAACAAAGAATCTGAAGTCATAAATCACTTTGGTCACAGCTCAGAATCAGGAGCTGATTCTTTCCAAGAGTTCGCAGAGTATCTACAAAGAAACGTACCTTCTTTAAAGTGGAGAGTCCCCAGCCATTAAGTTGTAGTAATCCACATAGGGAAAGGCATTATTGAAAATTCCGACAATTTAACTCTGAAGTAATTCCAACTGAGGAAGTTTGGTGGCTTTCCATGCAGGAATGATTGGGTGCTGGCACTTGCATGCTGTTGGCTGGTAGATCCAGAAAGAACGGTACGGAACACAGAAGCTCAGCGGTAGAGGTACTCCGGCCCCTGCACCACGCTCCCAAGATGCTCGCAATAATCACACCTGCAAAATGAAAACTAACGGAGATTAGCTTCCCAACCACCTTATATATTCCCTTTCTATCTAAAAGTAATCATCTTCTCAATGTATTTCACCCAGTCTTTGACTTAAAAATTCAAAACGACGGAGCTCTAGCACCACAGAACACCCTAACTTTCAGAAGTTAAAAGACATGAGGTTCCCTCAAGTTATTAAGCGGGACACTCAGTTTGATGCTTCATTTGTCTTGTCAAGGGTGAACAAGTCCAAGATTGTGAAGAAAGCCACCTGGAAATATAAAGCTGACTGCAAGAGAGAAGAAAGAGGAAAAGGTGATACATTACCTTGGTATTTGGGCCCATCCCACAAAACATAGCTGAAAACAATGACCTAAATTTGAATTGTAGATTCATGACACGTTGGTAATATTTAAAGACATCCTGACAACTACAGCCAACATTTGCCCCCTTTCCACAAATGCCCAACTTCGGTCTCCAAGATGCCTTTTCTACGAACCAAGTGACAGGGCAGGATAAACAACTTCTGGAGCAAAGAGAAAAAAAAACACTGAAAGAAATTTTTATATGAGGTGAAGACATTGCCTAGTGGTCGAGCGCTTCGTCTTCGTGGGCCAGAACCAACCTGGAAAAGTTGGGAAGTTAAGCGGCTGAAGAAACAAAGTTAGGGAGTCTGCTTCTCCGAAGCAGAAGCCCAACAGCCATCCCTCTTTGGGCCGGGCGTGGCCTAGGAACAAAAGGTTAAAACACAAAAGGCGGGGCGGAGGGCTAGGGCTGGGGAGCTCCGGGGCTCTCGGCCCCCTTCCATTGGAGCCCACTCAAGCAGGGTTAGTGTGTAGAGTGAGCGCGGTAGGACAGACCCCAAAGGGAGCACAGGTTATCCCGGGTGGGCGGTGAAACTGAAAGGGGCCGAGAGGATGGCCGACCTAACTAGTGGTCCAGGCCCTACTCCTCCATCCCTGCATCCCTGACAGTCCGGAACCTGTGGCTTCCTCCACCCCACTCCAGCCCCCAAGGAAACTTTTTCCAACTCTTACCTGTTTGCTCTACCCTCCTTGACCACCAACGCTCGAGCCCTATCTCTCACCACCCGGACCTCGGCTGCATGCTATTGTTGCTGGCTACTTCTGTATTGTGCGTTGGGTCTTCGGAGCGCGCTGCGCAGACAGTTAAGTTACAAAGCGGGCGAGGAGACGACCCCCGCCTCCGCATCTCTTCCTTTGGCGTGACCAAAGTCAGGGCTGGGTGGGGATGGGACTGGCCTTGTCCCCATCCATAGCAGCGTATTTTCATCCACCGTGCGCGCGGCGGGGAGAGAGCGAGTCAATGAGCCCCCCATACCCTCCTCCCATCCCCCAAGCTCTTTCTATAAAGAAGCACCGGAGAGTAATGCCTGCTTCCTTTCTGCCTCTTGAAAAAACAAACAAATAAAACAATCTGTGCAAGTTCGTTAAAGAACAAAAGCGAAGGGACGGGGGTGGGAAAAAAGGAGGCAGAATATACCAGCCAAACTTTGCCACTGCGCGATTACGCAGCCCTCCCCGGGGCAGGGAGCAGGGCGAGCCGAGCGAGACAGAGGTAAACAAGACAACAATCTCCACTCACCTTCTTCTCCACTTCCTCGCACTTTTAAGGGGCGTTATTTCCCTCTTTGCAGTCCCCAGAGGCGCTCGGACACTTCTTGGTGGCCTGACAGCGGAGAAAGTCGCGCCGGCAAAGTTGCGAGAGGGAGATACCCGGGCGTCCGAGGAAGAGGGGAGGAAGGAGAGTTCATCAAGTTCCCCCTTTTGTTCCAAGTCCCGGAGCAGACAAAGAGGCGGCGAGCGGCGGCAGGTTTCTCCCTCTCACCCCTTCTTCCTCTCTCCCTCCCCGCCCTCGCCGCCCCTCCCTCCCTCTCCCGCACCTCCCGCCCCGACCCTCTCTTCCCCCCACCTCGCTGCAAACTTCACTCCGGGGACGCCGGGCCGGTCCCCTCCCCACCAACCCTCTCTCCGCCACCCCTTCCCCCTTCCAAGGCGCGCGAGTCGACGTGGGAGCGAAATCCCCAAAATCATTGTTTCCGGGAGATGCCCCTCTTTTGTTGGCACTTTCTCTGCCAGCCAGGGGGAACAATCCACTTTGGCATCGAGTTTCCGCCAGTTTTTCATCATCCCCACAGACGAAAGGCTGCAAAGGGTCAATCCCAGAAGATAAAGGCGCTTACACAATCGGAGGTGGGGCGCGCGCCAGCCTCTCCATCCTCGGTCCTCAAACTCGGATTCACCCTTCTCCACCCAACGCACCAAAACAAGTCACAGGGACTCCAGTGATAGGAGCCCCGGCCCCACGCAGCGGTTCCTTTGGAGAGCCTTCGAGGGCGCAGGACAAAGGCCAGCTTGGGTCCCACCCACCTTTCGGGGATACCTGTTGCCGCAGGCTCTGCGCAACTAGGTCCGGGGGGCTCCGAGGGCGCATCCACGCCTCAGCATCGCGCCCACCTTCTAGACCCCCTGCTCCTCTCATCTCAGACTGCGCTGGCTGGACTCCCGGGATGCCCGCGCTCCTCTGACCCTACAACAGCCTAGCGCTCCTCACGCCCTCCCTTCCCTACGCCACTACCCGGTCCTCGCTCCGCAGACCCAACTCGGGGTCCCCTGCTGCTCCCCAGGCCCTACCCACTGAGGCTTGCAAGTTCCAGCCCCGCATCCTCTGGACCCACCCCTTCCCCCACCGCCTTGTCTGGAGCCATCCAGGTGTCTCAGACCTGGAACAGCTCCCGACCCTTCCGAGGTCCTGAGCCTCGTCGTCCGTGAACTCTGGAACTGGGGACCCCCATCCTCACCACCTCCCACCCCTGAGCCCTCATCCCAATTGTGGGCCACAGCACTGGCGCCCTGGAAGATTCCAAGCAGCTCTACTTTGCCTTCTAGATCCCTCTTAAAATTGAGGAAGAAAAGAGGTAGGAGGGAGAGAACTGGGGACCCCCACGGAGAGGCAGTTTCTAGGGCAAAGGGGGAGAAACATTCCAAGACCAACAACCCCCCTCCCGCCGGTATCCGACCCTTCTCGTCTCCACCCTCTTTCCCCAGCCCCAGGCTCGGGAGCTTTGCGGGCTGGTGAAGTTTTGGGGTAGAGATGGGGTGTCGAGACTTGGGAGCTGCGTTCCGGCTAGCGCTGGAGGTGGGGTAGCAGCCCCTGCTGGGTCTGGAATGTGGCGGGTGCTGGTCCCCGTACTCGCCCCGGGCTCCGTGCCCGGTGTCTGCCCCGCAGCAGAACAAAGACACCGCGAGGAGCGTCCTGTCGTCGCCTCCGCGTCCACGCCCGCCCTGGGCTCCCCGAGCCCCAGCCCACGCGCTGCTTGAAACTTTGGAACCAACTTGCTTGCAGTTCGAGCGCGCGGCACAGAGAAGGGCGGACCGGCGGGTCCAGGTCCCTTCTGCGCCCCTCGCGCCTCGGCGGGTCCCGGACCGCGTGTGGGGTGACCCGCTCCCTTGGAAGGAGGGGTTCGTTTCCAAAGGACGCGCGCAAGCAGGGCTAGGCAGATTGATCTCAGATACAAGGTGGCCAAGAGATAAAGAAGATAAAGAAGCAGCCGCCGGGAAGGCGAGGGTGGTGGCTCCGGCGGCTGCGGGAGGCCGAGGGCGCAGGAGCAGCGAGTCCCGCCGCGCCCGTCGTCGGGCCGGGTCACTGCACGCCCGCAGCCCCGGGAGCCGCCCCAGGCCGCAGAGTCAGGACGGGCGACCCGCCCGAGAGGGCCAGCCGACGAGAGCGCCTCCTCACCTGCGGGGACGGGACACCTGCGCGGCCACCTCGCCGAGCCTTGCGCCTTGGGGGCAGCCGCTCGCCTCCTGGACGCTCTGAGCCTCATCTTAGGTTGGGAATCTTGAACGCACCCCAACCGACCACAAAGAGAAAACAGCCCCCACCCACTCCTGTCTGGCACTTTTTCCTCTTTGTCTAATTATGATGACTTCCAGAATTCTCTTTTTTAGGAAAAGTCTACCCTCTCCCAGACAAACCCTTCCCTTCGCCTATCCTCAGGGATCTGCCTGGAAAATAATGAGAAGTCAGTACTCAGACAATTCCGTTTGCCGCCTCTCGAAAATATTCCAGTTTAGAGGGTAAATCAACCAAGAGAGACTGAACTTCTAACTGATGTCTAGCACCCTGCTTGCTGTTATGGTGTACCAGCTGAATGTGTTAAAGCATTAGTAGTTCTTCGATAATAATCACTGCAAGTTTCTCTTTTTTCAAGGAATAAAGAATAAAAGTCCTGTGCTAGGTGATAAAGTCAGTATGGCTTGAAGGATTCTGCCCACTGCCTGTCTACACAACACTCCTGTCCCAGCTGTCTGAAGTATCTCTTTTCCAATCTGCTCCTGAACAAAGTAAGTTCTTCCCAACACTCTTAGCCTTTAATGGGTCAATGCATCCCCACCCTGTAACAGAGCCCACGCCCAGGCTGAGCTGAATATGACTTATTTGCTGCCACATTTGAAAAAGATGCCGTCTTTTTTCAGATGTCATATTTTCAACACATTTTTCAAAAGCTGACTGATGTAGGCTGAGAGCTGGATATATCAGACACTCTCAGCAGCCCAGGACTTCCCTCTGTACTGAGAGTGCTGGCACGCTAGGCCCTGGCTTCCTGCTGGAAGAGGATGCATGTCCCTCCTCTTCTGGGTCTCTGTTCAAGGGCTTCCTCTGACTCTAGACCCCAGCTGGCTGGTGCCAGATAGGCATGCAGTGAATGTTCTCATAGTCAACCAGTCAAAGACAGATGGTGTAAAAATACTCCCGTCTTCCCCACTGGGAGGCAAGGCTATAGGAAAACTCTATCCCACAGGATCCCTGAGGTCCCCAACTTTGAGTCTTAGTTCTGCAGAGCAGTAACTCTTCTCTAAGGAATGGTATACTGTTTTATTTCCTCCCTCCCTCTTTCCTTCCTATCCTTCTCCTTTCTTTCTTCCTTTCCTTCCGTCCTCCTTTCCTTCCTCTATTCTCAACTACTTCCTTACTCTTTCTTGCTGGTGTTTGTAGAATCACACCCAGATAGATAAGATTTACCCTCTACTTCTACTCTGAGGATTAGTTTCGGGGAGAACTCAACCTGAGAAATGTCTCATGTATGTTCTTTCTACAGAGGGAGACATTCTCTTTGGAGAATGAAGAGGCAAGATTAGATCTTCCTTAGGAGTTATTTCAGTAATAACAAGTGTTTTGAGTTATCATGTTCATTCTGTATGCAGTACTTTAAGATCAGATGTCTTCATGAAACAGAAGTAGTGATAAGTAGAATCCTATTTCCTTCATGTGAAATTTTATTCATGGGTTCAAAACCAAGAAATTCCTTCAGTCTAATGCTGGCAGCTAGCAATGCAACATGAAGTACTATTAGATTTGTCATATTGAAAAAAGAGTTAGAAGTCACTTAAAAGAGGCTTGGGGTGCAGTTCAGTGGCCGAGCACATATTTACCATACATAAGGCCCAGGGTTCAATCTCCAGCATCACATGATAAAGTAGTAACACAAAAGGCTTTGTACTGAACTTCAATGAAAGTAGAGAAGGATGATAAACATATTTTATTCTACATGACCGCAGGAGATCTACAATGTCTTTTAGCAAACTTATTGTAGCATAAATTGGCCAACTATCGCAACATTTTTTTGTGAAATAATATATTAAATCTCAGCCGGGCGTGGTGGCACATGCCTGTAACCCCAGCACTCGGGAGGCTGAGGCAAGAGGATCATTGCGAGTTCGAGACCAGCCTGGGCTACAAAGTGGCTGGGCTACAAAGTGAGCTCAAGTCCAGCCTGAACTGCATAAGGAGACCCTGTCTCAAAAAGACAAAAAAATTTAAAAATAAAAAATAAAATAAATCTCACCTTCCTCTTAGCCACCATAATGAACAAGTCATCAAACCTCCACATAATTATAGGCCTTTAATGCCATCCTTAGCCCCAGAATGTTTGTAGCCCAAGCTGGTTGCTTTCACCTCTGCTTTTTGGAAGTTCCCACTTTGGTTGTCATTAGTGCTACTCAGCTGTCTCTTCTTCTCCTGCTGGCCTGGGGATAGGAAGGCAAGTCCCCAGCCCCCCACATTCAGATGTGGTCTTGGGATTCGTTCCAGCCAGTGAGGTGTGTGTGTCTTTTCCAGGGGGAGGCTCTTATGAGCAGTGTGTGGATTTTACACACTTCCTTCCCATCTGTTATAGTGCTGGCTAAGGATGCTGACTTGGCTTGCATACCTTGGGAACCCCCCAGCCAAACCAGTATGGTCATTTAAGGCATGGAAAATAACCTTTCTTGTCATAAACCATTGAGATTATTTAGGGTTATTGGTAATCACAAACCTGGGTAATCCTTACCTGTTCAGATACTCTCAGTCATTTACCTCCAGCCTCCTTAAGAGTTTAGATCTTCAAATGTTTATACAGAAAGGCTGGAGACCTAATTCAGTGGTACAATGCTCACCTAGCATGCACAAGACCCTGGGTTTCATCCTCACCACTGGGAAAGAGGATGGGAGGAAAGTCAGAAGGGAAAGGGAAGAGGAGAAAGGGGAGAAGAAAGAGAAAGAGAGAAAGAGAGGGAGGAAGGGAAGAAGGAGAAAGAAAAACAAAGAAAGAAGGGAGGAAAAGGAGAGAAAAAAGGAAAAGATAGTTTATACGGAAGCTCATAATGCCCTATGGTACTTTCTAGCTGGGCTTCAAGTTCTTCAATACATACTGTGCTTTGTAAATTGCTTTCTTTATGAAATATTAGTTTATCTTGTTTAAAAAGAGCCATCCAGTTTAGAAAGCAGGAGGGTTTTGCGGATTTCCCCCCCCAGGCTGTCTCGGTGTCAGAGGAACTATGACCCCTCCCCCGCTACAGTTGTCCCTTTGAATCAATATTCTCCATTTTTTCATCTGCCCTCAGGAAGAGGCAACTCCCCTCCACTTCGATTGTTGGTTTAACAAATTAGGGACCCTTTTTGACCAATGACATGAGCTCAGTGAATTTTTATCTTACTATGTTTTAAACTAGATTTCTGTAGAAAACTCACTGGTTTTATTTACCTAATAAAACTGAGAAGTCATTACCTACTTCATGGGGTTATTATGGGGATTAAATGAGATACTAAATTAAAGTGCTTAATCTAGGGGGCTACACGGGATAATACCTATCATTCAATTTCAAGCACTCTAGGACTTGCCTAACAAGTTCCCTGTGGTTGAAAACATTGCTGAGAAGGGCTGCCTATTCTGAAATGTTTTTCATTTTCTTAATTCCCAGCAATGGTCCCGTTATTGCAAAGATATTTTTAATAATAATGAACACCCTGGCTTTTTCCTTTCCAAGAAGATATTTGGAAAATTGAAATCCTGCTCAACTACCACCTCCTGTAGGAACTCTTTCTAGAACCTCCAGGTTGGACTCAGTGTACCTCCTCCATGGTCCCATTGTGTATCTCTAACCCTCCAGAAGTAGAATTTTTATTAAGAATGAATTTCTACTGGTGCATGCCTATAATCCCAGTTACTCAGGAGGCTGAGGCAGGAGGATTGCAAGTTTGAGCCGAGAGTGGGCAACTTAGAGAGATCTTGTTTCAAAATAATTTTAAAAGGACTGGTAGTAGAGTGCCCCTAGGTTCAGTTCCCAGTGCCTTGAAAAGATAAAATAATTTTCGTAAGATGAAATCTGCCTGAGTGATTATGCCCCTCACTAGCTGTGTGCCTGTAATCAAGTTACTTCAACTTTGTGAACCTTCCTCGCCATATGTAAAATGACATAACAGCACTTGCATCATAGGATTATAAGGATAAAATGTCATCAGAAATGAGAAGTGCTTAGCATATAAACCTGACAGGTAATAAAAATAGCTGTCATTCACTGAGTGTGTCTTATTTCTAGTAGATGTAAAGTTAGAGTAATAAAATAGTAGACAGTAAATTTTATTTTGGCTCTCAGCTATAAAGGTCTGCAGTTGCAGCCAATGATCTTCCTGAAGAGTGATGAGCATTGGAAACAACAGCTACCAAACCCCTCAGGAGACTGTTGTTCTGCAGAAGTTATTTCAGAAACTAGGTTACCTGATCAGTAGCACCACATTCTTTATATCAAAATACACAGGCAAATGTGGGCCAGCAGAAGGTTCACAGAGAAAAAGGAATCATATGAGCTCAGTCCAACATTACGGGCTGGATAAGATTTCACCCAGTTTGCAAGGGAGTTGGAGGAACTCACTGTTACCTCCGTACCGTTGTCCCCCGAGAGTCCAAGGGGGACCATATCCCGCAGGCACCAAAACCAGCAGATGCTCTGATTTCTCCTCTGAAATGATGTACCATTTGCATATAACTGACACACATCCTCTTGTATACTTTATGCCATCACTGTATTGCTTAGAATCCTAACACAATGCAATGCTATGACATATTCTTATTGTATTGTTGAAGGAATAATTGCTGGGAAAAAAGTTTATACGTCTTAAGTACAGATTCCATTTTTTAAAAATACTTTCTTTCTGCAGTTGGTTAAACCCATGAGTGCAGAGCCCCAGATGCGAAAGGCCACCTGTACTGCATGTGACTGAATAACAGAAGACAATTCTCCAGTTTTCCAGTAAGAAGTTTCTTTTTATTTTATTTTATTGATTTTTTTTTCCAGTACCGGGAATTGAATTCACGACCTTGTGCTTACCAGGCTGGCGCTGTGCCACTAAGCTAAATCCCCAGCCCCAGAAGTTTCTTTTTAAAAAATTTCTTTTTGGCCAACTTGAGTACATACATTTTTAGATCATATGTATGTTTATTCACTGTGGTTACATAATTTAATTACATGAATAAATATGGAAATAATAATTTCTGGCTGTACACACAGTTTATTGTACAACCAAAATCAATCTCTCTCTCTCTCTCTTTTTTTCTTTCTCTCCAGTACTGGGAATCAAACTCAAGGTGCCCTACCACTGTTCTATGTCCCCTGCTCTTTTTATTTATTTTTTTAAATTTTAAAACAGCGTCTTTCTGAGTTGTCTGGGCTAACCTGGAACTTAAAATCCTCCTGCCTCAGCCTCTTGGGTAGCTGGGCTTACAGACTTGCAGCACCGCATGTGGCTGTTTTCTCCTGTATTTGTCATCCCTGTAGTCACTGTGATTCCTTTACCTGCTTCCTTCAGAGGTCATCATCTTTATTCTCATTTAGATCACGTAAAACACACGTACTATTGTGCTCGTGACACCAACATCAGAAATTTTATCCCAAATACTATTGACAAAACGTGGCACCATTATCCATTCTTTTCACAGTTGTGTAGTTGAGAAAATCGTCACACAGCAGAGCTTGCTTTACTTTAAAAGACAGGTTTAGCAGGGTGTGATTTCACATACCTGTGATCCCAGCACTCTGGAAGGATGAGGCAAGAGGATCAAAGTTCCCCTGGGCAATTTAGATCCTGCTGCAAAAAAAAAAAAAAAAAAAAAGGTTGAGGACAGACGTAGCTCAATGCAAAGGCCCTGGGTTCAATTTCCAGTACTAAAAAAAAAACAGAGAGAGAGTGTGATTTATAATGACAGCAAAATGATGCTTATGAAATCCTTTTCTTAGGGACAAATTATTTTTTAACTCTATGTAAAATATTCTAGCCTGCTTTATTTCTAATTCAGTTAGGTGACTAAACAGTTAGGTGACTCAATAAGCATCCAAAAGCAGCTTGAAACACAAAGATTGAATGTTCTATGACTTTCCAAAAATAATTTATTGCTTAAAATAAATTTTAAGATTATATAATAAGGTCTTTTGTATAAGGCGAGCTCCTTTTCCAAAAGATCATCTGGGGCAGACAAATCTCACCTTATACATTTAAGGATATACTGGTACAACTGTTTTGTCATCAAATTCTCTCAAGGGTCTCAGTAGTATTTTTCCAAATTAGCAAAAGACAGCAGCCCCTGACAAATTCTACCTTCTTCTGCTGCTGGACTATCAACTCCTGGCTGTCTCTTTCATCTGAAGAATCATTTCTGTGTCATTCTCCCAGAATACCGCCAAATAGCAGAATGGCTTTTAAATACAGATTTCAGTTATTTCTCCGTGTGGAGGACTATTTCCTTTTCTCCCAGCACCTTTACACATCCCAGTTTTGCTCTCCCAGTTCCTACCTTCTCATTCCCTCCATTGGTGCCCTTGTGACACACGCCTCCTGCAGAACTACATCTCCGTCTCTGCCATCCACGTTAGGGGGTGGGACCTCTCTTAGGGAAATGAACGTCACAACTGGAGATTACAATTCACGGTCTGGGATGATTACCCTGGGTATAGAAAGCAGTCCTTCGGCTTGCCTAATTACACAGCAGCTGTATCTTTAACTTCCTGGGAGAGGAAAAAGCCCTGATTCTGTTCTCTTACATGCCATAATTGTGGGGTTTAATTCCTGGTTTTCTGTTTCAAAATATCCACCCCTCAAATCTAACAGATAAGATCTTTCACCCAAAGGCACTGTAATTCAGTGGAAATGATCTTACCTGTTTTCTTTCCATTTTGCAATATTTGTGTGCTGTAGAATTCAGGCAATTTCCTCATGGCTTTTTCACTTCCTGTGGAAATACTTATTGGAGATGATAATAATTGTCAGCTAGAATAGAACTGATGAGTATTTTGTTTCATGAAGAAAGGTTCCCTCTCCCAAGCTTACAACACACACATGTGTGCACACAGGAAAAAAAAAAAATAGCCTCAAGGTCATCCTAGCCATAGTGAAGTTTCTCAGACAAGCATCTTGTTAGAGCTCTGACCCTTTCCAAAAAGCCTCTCATCAACAGAGGCAATGAAGCATAAGAAATAAACAAGGTGGCTTTTATCCCCAGTCACTTGCTTCTTCAGCTTTCTGAGGTGGCTTGGGGAGGTGTTCTCACCTTGTTGTCCAGCCCTGGCCTTATTCGATCCTCTTGCCTCAGCCTCCAGGGTAGCTGGGACTGCAAGCATGTGCGCATGCCTGGCCCCAGCCACACTCATTCTTTGCTTTCTGTTGCCTGGCCAGGTGTAGGGATAGAAATGCTGATTGCACTTTTCCCCCTGGTTGTGGCATAGGAAATGCCTAAGGAAGAGTTACCACCTCTCTGTGGCAATAAGCCCCTACACCCAGTTTCAGTCTTCGCTCTGTTAGTCACATCCGAGATGTCTTCAGCTTGGCAATGTTCTCTTCTCATCAGAACTTATTTAGTGTGCTTTTTATCTGATGGCAGGCTTAGCCCTCATAAAAAGAGCTAGAAGCAGAGCTGAAAGCAGAACCCCTAATCCACAGCAGGCGGACTGTGATACAGAGTCCCAGCCAGGGTCAAGGGTGGTCCCCAAAACAGCAGCTGGCCTAGACCCAGGGCAGACCCTCCTCTGTAGGGCTCTCTACCCTGGCCACCACCCTACTGAAGCTCAGGCACAGAGGCAACCATCTGTCTTCTCCTTCTGAGCCAGCATTTTTCCCCTGTAATGAATGACTCCATTCTGCAGCTGGAGCTCCAGAGGTTAAATTTACAGCTCAGTATAATCCTTTCCCTGTGATCGCGCCTTCCAGAGGAGCCGCTCATCTATTAGCGAAAATACCACTCTGAGCCAGCAATAAAATTGAGGATGTGCTCAGACAAAGCGATTAAGAATGAGGGTGAAAGCCTGACATGGAAAAATGTAAATGATTAAGCCAAAAGTATTTCTAGATTTTTTTTCCCTCCGAGGTTCAGAGTGAAGCAATAAGATGGAAGGGGTTACTGATGCCTCCAGGCCTGGTGTGTCCCCAGGACTTGTCCTGTTCTCTCCATGGGACACCTGCCTGTCCAAGCTGAGTGGCTCCTGTGGACACTGGAGCTGGGGCATCCGTTCCTGACCTGCAGCCCACTTCTCCTTCCCCAAACCAAACGCTGACAAATCTCCCGCCACTCACTGGACGGGTCCCTGACGTGCCCATACATTCCTCACCTGTAACACATCGTCGACTGATTTTCTTGGCTTTTTCTCAGAATCAGGAAATCCCTGTCTTGGTTACCTTTCTTTCATTGCTGAGACAAAATACCTGACACCCAGAATTAAGGAAGGAAAGATTTATTTAGCTCACTGTTTGTGGAGGTTTCAGTCTGTACTCGGCTGGCTCCAAGGCAGAGTGGCACATGGCACAGGGCAACAGTTCATGGCGGAAAACAGCAAGAGCAACAAGAGCAAACAGGGGGAAATGTCAGCTCTCCCTTACATATGCAAACTATCTGCCCCAGGGGCAGGTGTAGCACTCACACCCATAATCCCAGCATTGGACAACAGATCAGTCATAAATCTACAAGCCTGTCCCATGACTGCACGAGGATTTGGGGGGACATCCAGACACAAACCATAGCATCCCCACAATCCTCATTCTTGTGAGCAGTATTCCTGTCTGATCCATAAAGCAACACCAAAACTCATGGGACTCAGCTCCAACTTTTCCCCTTTCATTTTATGTTGTCAGTGGCTCTGACATCCTTCTCCTTTTACTCCATGACTACTATTCAGTTCACACCCTTTTCATCTTTTGTGTGTGTGTGGTACTGTGGATCGAACCCAGGGCCTTCCCACTAAGCTACATCCCTAGCCCTTTTATTTTTTTTAATTTTGAGACAGGGTCTTTCTAAGTCACTAAATTGTGCAGGCCAAGTGCAAACTGAAAACTCCTCCTGTCTCAGCCTCCCAGAGTGTTGGGATTACAGGCACACACCACCACACTGGCCCTCCTTATCTTTTACTTGAACAACTGTAATAACCTGTCATGAATTAAATGTGTCCCCAGTCCTCCCTCTGTCATTTTAATTGTTTTTTTTTTTTAAAGAAAGAAACAATTCATTAAAGCAGAACAGGAAAGTGAAAGTCCTTGTTTTCCTTAAATGGGTAGTTGACTCGTCATTTTAAAAAAATTTATGTTTTATTTTGTGTTGCTAAAGGTCCAGCTCTTGTATGCTCTACCAGTGAGTTATACCCCAGTCCAACTTCTAACCTTGTTCTTTCTTTCTTTCTTTCTCATTAGTACATGTCTGCACTACACAATGATCACCTTGATCATGGATGAGGTGCAACCTCTCTGTAATACATCTTAATTCTTTTTATTTCTTCTTGTCCCTCAAATCCTGAAGTTGAGGCCCTGACCCCTAGTGTAGCTGCTTTTGGCGATAGTGCCTCTAAGGAAGTAATTAAGGTTGAAGAAATTTTAAGAGCAGGGTCCTTAGGATTAGTATTCTTAATTAAAAGATACACTGGAGAGCCCTCTACCTCTCCCTCTCCCTCCCACTCCCCCTCCTTCCCCTCGCCCTCCTCCTGCCCCTCCTCCCCTTCCCTCTCCCCCCAGGAGCACAGGGAGACACAATAAGAAGGTGGTTGCCTGCAAGCCACAAAAAGAGCCCTCACCAAAAATTAACTCCTCTAGATTTGAGCTGGGTCTCCTTGAGCCTGTGATATTGCATTATGGTAGCCTGAGCTGACTATCTGATAGAGTTTCCAAATCAGCCTCCTCCTCCATGATTACCATAATATCATGTCTAAACATATGAAGCAGTGCCTTAGCATGGCTTTTATAAATTGGCCTGTTATCAGGCTTGGTGCTGCATACTTGTAATCCCAGCTACATTCAATAGGATCAAAATTTCAAGGCCATTCTGGGCAACAGAGTAAGACCCTATCTTAAAAAACAAAGTGAGCTGGGAATGCAGCTCAGTGCTAGAGCACTTGCGTAGCATGCAGTAGGCTCTGGGCTCAATCCCCAGTACAGTAAGGCCCCAACTTACAAACAAGTTCTACTCTGCCTTCCTGGTAGGACATTCGTAAGTTGGATTCATTCATAAATCTGACAAAGTGAGTCTTATATACCTTTGATACAGATATACCATTTAAAGCATAAAAAACCAAACACACATACACAAATACTGTACACACACAAACACATCACACTGTACAGTAAGCACACAGCAGCACAACTGTCACAATGATCGGCAGACACATAAGCTGCTTCCACAATGTGTTCACATCTACAAACGCTCCTAAAGAAAATGTGAGGTCTGTTCCCATCTGTGAAAGTTCACAACTTGAATGTTTCTAAATTGGGGGCTTTCTGTACCACCAAGGAATAAACAAGGATAAAGCCATGTTGGTCACATTATGCAGGCCCTTAATAGGGGACATAAAAATCCAGCCATGGCCCCATCCACTGCAAACTCAGTTTCCTTCAAGGGCTTGCTTCCTGTGTCTCCCTCATTTCTACCATCTCCTCTCGCACACATAGCATCCCCATCCTGACTAAATCACATACGCCCTCCCTGCACACCTCACCTTTGTTCTCTCTGTTTCCCTGCCTGGGCCCCTCCCATATAGCAGTGCTAGGAAAGCTCATCCTTTAACTTCAGTGTCCCCTCTGTGGCCTTCCCTCATCCCCCACCTGCAGGGAGCTGAGCGACCCCAGACATCATGCCACCCCGGACCTACTCCCTGACTTTGTCATAGCTGCAGAGTCTGGCATGCCTTCTTCATGTCTCCTCTACTAGGCAGCGTGCTTTATTGATCCATGAGTTTCTGGTACCTTGCTCAGTGCCTGGCATACACGAGACACTGTTTGTGTAATGTTTGTATAATTGGGAAAATGGGGATGTAGCTCAGCGGTAGAGTGCTTGCCTAGCATGCACAAGGTCTTGAGCTCAATCCCCAGTACCACAAAAAAGAAAAAAGAAAAAAAAAAACCTGGAAAATGGCATGGAAAAGCTGGGGGAAAAAAAAGAAAAAAAAAACAAACCGGGAAAATGGCATGGAAAAGCTGGGGGAAATACGGAGATAGCATTTCCCCTGCTACTGGTGCTTTCATCGCTTGATCTTTAGCACACTAGAACTGTCTCCTCACTTGATTCATTTTTTCCTTTAAATTCACTTCCATCCAATACGATAATGGATGTGCCAACCGCAGATTCTCTACCTTCAAGCAAGTTATTGATTTCATTAATAATCCAAGTCAGAGCCCTGAAAAAGGACATCAAAAATCTCCCTGTTCTTTGCTAACAATTCATTATTTAATTACCTTCTCATCTCACCTGTTTGCTTACCCACAGAATTCTCCTGCCACTCAACCCTCCATAACCTTCTCCCCTACACTATACTGACCAAGGGTCCACCTGGTCACAAGACCATCCCACTTATTAAGTTACAGTCTTGTGATAATTGTTCTCTCCCTGTCCCCTGCTGTTTCTCCCCTGTGCTAGTACTTTAGTTTTCTATAAAAGTTTTAAGTATCTTAGATATTGTCCTTTTTTGGAGGGAGGGGACGGGGAATCAAACTCAGGACCTCAAGCTTGCCAGGCAGGCTCTGTGCCACTGAGCTATATCTCGGTCCTCTTAGATATATTCTAGAATTGAGTTTAAGCTCAGGTTGTACCATGTTTCCATTATTGTTGGTGCACACAAAATGAGATCTTGAGAACAGATTCCCAGCAACCCTTTGCACAAGGGGTCTTCATGCTACCCCCTTGACCTTTACCAATGATATCAAAGGACCAGACATATGAAAGCTATTTTTGTGTCTATTGTAAGTGATATTGCCAAGGACATCAGTATAGCAAACCATGTTCTCCTTATGGGTATCTACAGGAGAATTATTTCACAGGCTTTCAGATCAAAATGTGTTTTGTTTACAGTTTGGCTTTAATCTTATAGATAAATTTTGTAATTGAACAGGTTCTCCCTTTGCTTCATTGCTCAGAAACATGAAAGCCAAATTTGCTGCTCTTCCCTGGAACCTATGCAAGGTGAGAAGGTGGATATTTTGCGTGTGCTAATCTTATCCTTTGCTCCAGTTTTCCTATCTTTATTTCCTGCCCAACAAAGTTATCTCAAAAAGTGAGTTTTATCTTTTGCATTTATGTAAAATGTAGCACAGGAAGCAGGGCATAAATAATTTTCATTGTCTGTTTACAAATGGGGAAATGGATACTGCGATAAACTGATAGACTTAGGCAAAGGAGAATCATGGCTGGTTAACCCCGTGATGTGTGCCTTTGCCTTCTATCCTCTTACATTTGTTAGCTATAACGATAAGAATGGTAAGTTTTATTTATTTATTTATTTATTTTTGTCTTTTTGAGACAGGGGCTCACTATGTATAGCCCAGGCTGACCTTGAATTCACTTTGTAGCCCAGGCTGGCCTTGAACTCACAATGATCCTCCTGCCTCAGCCTCCCAAGTGCCAAGAATGGTATGTTTTAGAATCTTCTTTTCCTTTGGTGCTAAGAATTGAACCAGGACCTCATGCATACTAAGCATGTGTTCTGCCAGCCAGCTATACCCCTCCCAATCCTAGAATTATTTAACAATAACATTTGTATTTGATATGAAAAAAAGTTCATCACTGGTCATTTGGGAAGTGCAAATTAAAACAACATTAAGATTCCATCTCACCCTAGAAAGAATGGCTATCATCAAGAAATCAACCAATAACAAATGCTGGAGGGGCTGTGGGGGAAAAGGAACTCTTCTCCACTGGTAGTTTGGTGAAAGCATACACTGCTGAAATCACTGTGGAAATCAGTCTGGAGATAACTTGTAAACTAGGATGAGAGATCCCATTCAACCCACTTATTTCCCTCCTGGGTATTTTTCCAGAAGAACCACAGCGATATATGTGTACCCATGTTTATAGCAATGCAATTTGTCATAGCTAAATCTTGGAAACAACCCAAATGTCCATCAACTGAGGAATGGATAAAAAAATGTGGTATTTTTGTAACAATGTGGTATTATTCAGCTATAAAGAAAGATAAACTAGAGGCTTTTCTAGGTAAATGGATGCAACTAGAGACCATACTCATAAGTGAAATAAATCAGACCCACATGTGTAAACATCGTATTGTCTCCCTCGTATAAGAATTTGAGAGTAAATAAAACCCAAAATGTACAATGGATATTATGAAAGGGAAAGCAGTTGCTCAAAGGAAGGAACAACTGGGATGAAGGAAAGGAGAGAAAGAAAGAAGGGGAAAATATATATATGGATAGCTGAGGTAATTGTACTGCTGATGTCTTAATAGTTTATTGAAGGGAACAGTTAATACTTAAATTTTTTTGACCAGTTTTGCATGATTATGTCTGGTAATCTGAACAACTAATTCTAAGACAACAATATGTAGTATAATAACCATTGGTGAATTCCTACCTTCTTATCTAGTGAACTCTGTATTGTTTCTTTTTTTTTTTTTTCCCAGTACCGGGAATCGAACTCACGACCTTGCACTTGCCAGGCAGGCACTGTGCCACTGAGCTAAATCCCCAGCCCCTGAAACCCTGTATTATTTTTACTGTTTTTGCTTTGCTTTGTTTCTGTCTATGTTGTTATTATTTTGTAATTTTTTATTCTCCTTAAAATAAAATTTAAAAATTTGTATTTATATTCTTTTTACACTCAAGCTCTGAAAAGGCTGAAACATTTCAACAAACAGTGAAATTTTCGATCATCTTGATTGTATTCTTGCTTCATACTGACAGAGAAAGAAAATATCATGTGATTGATGGTTTTCTTCATTCTTTTCACAAAAGTTTTAATGCCGTACCCAGGAAAATCAAATCCCAAATACCATGGACTCTAAAGAATTTTAGCTCAGAACCGGAAGTCACAGGTTGCAGTTCTACTTCTACTGAGACTACAGTAAGGCACTGGCCCTTCCGAATTTCCATTTCCTCAAATGTCTAACATAAAGGTAATGGGCCTCCTGGTGTCTGCATCTCAGTTGAGATGATGGATGTAAATGCACTTTGAGAAGTGCTACATGATTATGAGAGAATGGTGCTGAGTCCGAAAACACTCCATTATCATCCCCACGTAAAAATCTTATCGCAAAGCTCTTAACTTCTCTAAGGGGAGCAGGACACAGGAAGAATAAACACACATCCGTGTGCAGGTTTACAAGTTAAAGTAAAAGTGCGGTGTCTTGGCCCTGTAGCCAGAGAAATGAGGAAGTGGGTGGCTTCCTAAACAACATCCAGATTCAGCCAGCCAACTTCCACTTTTGTTTTTCTGTGTCTCCACTGTGCTGCTTTTTTCTTTTTATTGTGGTAAAATTGACACAATTTAAAATATACCATTGTCAGCATTTTTACATGGATAGAATTTAAGTACATTCACAAGCCGGGCATGGTGGCACACACCTGTAATCCCAGGACTCTAGGGGTCTGAGGTAGGAGGATTGCAAATTCAAGCCTCGCCTGGGCAATTTAGCAAGACTGTCTGAAAAAAAATGTAAAAAGAAGGCTGAGGATGTTACTGACTGCAAAAACTTTGGGTTTAACCCCCAGTACCACACACCCAGAAAAACTACTTGCACAAAGTTGTGTGACCATTACTCCCTTTGCAGAATATTTGCTTCATCTCAGACAGAAACTCTGTACCCATGAAACAATAATTTCCTGGTCAACTCCCACTTTTTTTTTTTTCCGGTACCAGGAATCAAACTTATGACCTTCCATGTGCCGGGCAGGCGTTGTGCCGCTGAGCTAAATCCCCAGCCCCTTACTCCCACTTTTCACTCTTCCATGGTCTGACCCTTGGTCACATGCATCTGGTACAGGCGCAGGATTAAACTTCCTCTGTATCGGCTTCTCATGCTCCTCTTCACGAAAAGTTGCTTTTTATATAGGTAGTGGATTATTTTGTTCCTATGCCACTGATTTTCTGTTTTAAAAAAATCTCAAATCTAAAAATGTTATTTGCATGCTTTAGGCATAAGTGAGAATGAAGCTTTGCCTCAGCTTTGCCAATGAGGATGACCAGGCTGTGTCTTAATCTCACGGATCTGACTCCCAGCACCTAGGCAAAGTCTGTGTTTGGCTCTTGCCCTGGTGAAGCTCTGCTTTAGGCTTCTGCTCCGGCCACTCTGAAACACATGTGACCTGGGTCACACAGAGGGCAGCGTGAAACAGTATGGTGAATCAATATAAACTCACTTGAAACACAAGTTCATTTATGAGGCTAATTAAATAGAGATATAAATCAATTTCAGGCACCATACATGAGCTCCCTGCGAAGCTGGATTATTTACTCTCATGTAGCCTGTGCTGACTGATGATAGGTACCAGTAAATGTTTGGCTGAAATAAATTCAAACAAAATCCTTCTTTTGGACAGAATATATAATGAAACCTAGATATATAAGGCAAATAGGACATATGCTGGGAACCTGAGAAAGAAAAATCTTAATAGGAGCTTATTATGCGCCAGATAATAGTGCGGTGTTAGTAGTGATGATTTCATTTCCTGCTTACATGAACAAGGTAGGTGTTATCTGTCATATCCACATCTTGGAGAGGCTAAGTACATGAGTCAGCTTTCTGTAACCATAACAAACACCTGCAGTGGCCAAATCATAAAGGGAAAAGGTTTATTCTGGTTCATAATTTTGTACATTTCACTCCATGACTGGTTGGCTCCCTTACTTTTGATCTCTGGCAATACATCATGGCAGGAAGAAGTGTGTGGTGGGACAAAACTGTTTACTTCCTGGTGAGAAAATGAAAAGGAAAGAGTAGGGGCTGGGGCTCTACTATCCCCTTCAAAGGCATGTCCCTGAAATGACCAAAGACCTACCAAGAGTCCTCACTTCTTAAATGTCCCACCACTTCCTGATGGTGTCAACCTGGGATCAACCTCTGACAAGTTGGGGATTACAACCTCTTTACGGAACCTTCTAGATCCAGAGCATAGCACTAAGCAAATCATTCAGGCTGACAGAGTAGTAGGGACAACTAGAATGCAAACTCAGATGTGCTCATTTGAATTCCCTCTGTATTTCATTTCTGCCCTGAGATTATTACAATCCCTCTAATGTGTACATCAACAATATATTATTCAATCTTTTTCTTTTCTGTGAAATGGGTACTTAAACTTTGAGTTTTGAATATAATTTGCTCAAGAAAGAGAAGAAACTAAAAGAAATGGATGATGGATTAATTATAATGCAGAAAATTCAGAAGTGAGATATGTTCCACTCCTGCACACTTCTGGTGAGACTGTGTGGTACCCCACCCCAGGGAGAGATGCTGTTGATTTACATCCAACATTTGCTCTAGGCCCTCTGTCCAAGCTCTTCAAGACTTCTTTTTTTGTCTTTTTTTTTTTTTTTTTTTTTTTGGAGACAAGGTCTCGTTCTGCATTTTAGGCTGGCCTTGAGCTCACTTTGTAGCCCAGGCTGGTCTCGAACACACAACAGTCCTCCTGCCTCAGCCTCCTGAGTGCTGGGATTACAGGCATGAACCACCATGCCTGGCTTCAAGACTTTTAAAAGATTTATACAGTGAAAATTACAGTACTCTGAGAAAAGAGATCAAAGAAGATTTCAAAAAATGGAAAGATATTCCTGTTCTTGGATAGGAAGAATGAACTTTGAGAAAATGGCCATACTCCCAAAATTGTTATATAGATTCAACGTAATCCCGAAGAAAATACCATTGGAATACCTCACAGATCTAGAGAAAACATTTCTAAAATTCATCTGGAACCAGAAGAGACCCAGAATAAAAAAAGCAATCCTGGGCAACAAAAGCGAGGCAGTAGGTATCACAATCCCTGACTTGAAATTATACTACAAAGCTACTGTGATAAAAACCAGCATGGTATTGGCAAAAAAAATAGACTGGAAGATCAATGGAACAGACCAAAAGATGCAGCCACAATCACAAACACATTCAACCACCATATCTTTGACAAAGGGTGTAAACATGTTCACTGGAAGAAAGATAGCCTCTTTAATAAATGGTGCTGGAAAAATGGTTTTCCACAAGCCAAAGACTAAAATTAGACCCATACCTATCACCATGCATCAAAATAAAATGAAAATGGCTTAAAGATCTAAATATTAAAACAGAAACACTACATCTACTGGAAGAGAAAGTAAGTGGAAGTCTTTTTTTTTTTAGTAAGTGGAAGTCTTGAAGACGTAGGGATAGGCAGAGAGTTCATGAACAAAAATCAAAGTGCACAGGAAATACTTCAAAGAATCAACAACTGGGATCTAATCTTATTGAAAAGTTTTTGCATATCAAAAGAAATCACCAACAGGGTGAAAAGAAAACCCACAAATTGGAAAGAAATTTTAGCCAACTATCCCTCAGACAAAGGACTCTTATCTAGAACATGTA